TTTAGCGTAAAACAAAGCAATTTTTTAGCAAAAAAAATCCATTTTTAAGCCTATAAACCGGGAGTACCGGGGGAACGGGGGCGGGACCGGGGGCAATGGAGGTAACCGGGGGCGGGACCGGGGGCTGTGTAAGCGGGGGATCCGGGTGCGGGACCGGGAGCGGGGGCAACAAGTGATTTCGGGAGGGGGGCGGTGGCAACCATTTCCGCTCCCGTTTGGTCCGGTTGACATCCCTAGGCTTAAATAACTTTGCAATTACCTTCTTTTAACCATTATCTTATAATATTTATTCAAATTATAAAATTAATATACTACTTCGTTATTTAATTAATAAAATATATAACTTAGTAATAAAAGTATTTAGTATATAATTTCTAATTTTAGTTATTGTAAATTACGCCCATCATTGTTAACAAATAATAATGTAGTTTTATTTCTATTAATATTTATCTATTTGTGTTGTATTTTTAATGTATGATGCTATCTACCAGCATGAGCCTTATAGTGTAAAGGGTCGATTTTTAATGTATTATATTTAGAGTTAGTTTGCCGCGTTTTGCTACGGATATAAATTTAAAATAAATTGGGAAATCTTAAAAAAGTCCTAAAGTTTTAGCTCAGTTTATGATTTAGTCCCAAATTAAATTTCATTAACGAAAAATGATAGAAAATCGGCTATAGTAATCACTTTTATCCCTTTTACTGTTTTCAGCAGGTTACTGCTTAGGTGGAGTGCAAAGTGTACTTCTTAGTTGAGGTGGCGTCTGAGGTGGCATGCCCTTACTATACAAACTAAAAAAATCATATTTTTTTGGGAAAAAAAGGGGGAAGGGGACTCGAACCCTTGACCTCCCACTCATAATCAAAACAACTTACCATGTGAACTAGAAGTAGTTATTGTTATATTTTCTTTAAATTTATTTATTAATCCTTATAACCTTCGTCTTCCTCGATATGTATAGACAGACGAACCTGCAACTTCTTGTTATCATTAATCTCTCAACCAAACACACGACCTTACAGCTTCTTCTCATGGAGATTCTATTCGGTCAACATAGGAATCACATCTGGTTATCTAATCTACTTCACCATAAAACCTAACAGATTTTTTTCTTTCCCCCTTTCTTTCCTCCATCACTCAAATCAGAAAAAACTCAAGATTCCCAAACGCGAACATTTGGAATGGCGAGATGGTCTGTCGATATCATGGGGGATATTAACATTGGAAACATTAGCATAGTGGCGTCGTTTAAGGGAGAGAAGAATGAAGTATAGAAAATTCTTCGTAACTCATTTAAATCGAAGGAGACTTCAATCAATCCGAGTTTGAATCATACATAGATCAGACGATTTTCTTTTGTTGGTAACGTATTGTTCCAAATAACAGTTCCACCACCGGGAACTACTGGCCTATTAAGAAGAAGATGAAGCTCGATGTTTCTTGTGGGTGGTCAGAAACTTGTATGGTGAACATATTCCCAAGCTCAATCGCTTCACAACCACCGTGAGATTCAATTTTCATTTGTTTCACCTCATCCAAATCCTTCAATTTCAACTCCTTATTTTGTTGGTTCATTTATAAATTAGGGTTTTAAGTAAGCTAGAGATGATAAAGGGAGGATACCAGGTTTAATGTGAGTGGGAGGTCAAGGGTTCGAGTGCCCCTCCCCCTCTTTTCCCCAAAAAAATATGATCTTTTTACTTTGTATAGGAAGGAGATGTCACCTCAGATGTCACCAAAGCCCAGAAATACACTTGGCACTCCACCTCAGCAGTTACCTGCTGAAAAGGTAAAAATGGGTAAAAGTGATTACAATAGTCGGTTTCCTATCCTTTTTCATTAATGGAATTTAATTTAGGACTAAATCATAAAGTGGCCCGAAATTTTAGGACTTTTTTGGAGATTTCTCAAATAAATTCAAAGAGAAAATGGCTTTTTAGTTTGTAAAAACAAAATAAATGTTTAAAAACAATACAAAATAGAAAAATGTTAAATTGATAACAAACAAAATAATAATAAAAAGATCTAAAATAAGTTGTCCAATTAAAAATAATAATTTTAAAGAACTTAAAATTCAAAGATATTAAAAAAAAGATAAGAAAAATGTACAATGTTATTTGTTAAAAAAGATGTAACCTAAGTTGTAAAAATAATTTTAACAAAAGTTGTAAAAAGAAATTGTTAAAAAAAGTCCGAAATGAACTAAAAGTCACTTTAAAAAAAAGGTTATACAATATTTAAGAAAAACTTATCGAAAGGGTTTGTATAAAATTTGTAAAAAATACTGAAAGTATGCTAAAAGTATGATATGGGTGATAGTTATAGAAGGTAAATTGTCAGAAAGTCTCAATATTTTGGAAGAAGTTTCACTTTAGTCAAAAAAAGGTTGAACATAAAAGCCCCAATTATTTAATTTTGGTTCAAATTAACAAAAAATCATTTTTTTTTCTTTTAATAGGAAATGATATATTATCATATAAAATAGAATAATTGGGGTCCGGACTAAAGTGTAACTTTTTCCAAAATATTTTGATTTTTCTAACAATTTTCCGCTAGAGAAAACCAAAGTTTGAGAGGAAAAGAGCACATCTCTGTGACTAGTTATAGAAAACCAAAGTTTGAAGGGAAAATGATACATCTGTATAACTGTGAAAAGAAAAAAAAATATTTGAATTATGTAACCAAAATCATTAAAATACAATTAATATGTGCAAGATAGAAAAATAAGGTGCAAGCTTTAAAAACCATTTATGAACATTGTTTTTTGATATATATATATATATATATATATATATATAT